TAGTTTAGCGTCAGTTTATTATCACTAAATAAATTCACATGCAGACCACCGTCCGTGTGCACACCCTGCACTGGGTTATACCGTGGGCCTCTCTGAAACTAGCATTCCAACTTTTGAATGATGCCTTCTTGTCAGACCTGATAGTACTTCCATCAAAAAATACGATGACTGTTACTACCTCGAGTAAAACGAAAGGAGTTTGCGCTTGATCTGTAGTGAGAATAGGTTACGTAGCGTCAGTTTGATTAGCCTAATATGCATAGTGCCTCCACGGCTAAAGTAGGTTTAAACGAGCGGTAATAAGGTCCAGTAAAAGGACTGACACAGTATATAGTTTTCATCTGTAGACAATTGTGACCCCTCTCCCAACTTAACGAGCGAGGCCACAGACAAAATTCATTGCGTTTGGGAGTCGTATCAACAATCCTTATTCGGTATCTGCCACCACTCGGAGGAGTAAGCGAAGTGTAGAAATTTTGTGGAGTCACAACTGAGGACTATGGGTCAAGTAGAGTTGGAGTTTAATGCTCGCCTCCTAAAGGAAGACATTTGACGCTACTGTCTATCAATTTGACCATTTTCCCCGAGAATCAAAGTCGTAGCGGATGCGATTTTCCACAACTCCGGAGCTTACTTGTGATAGGTGAATTTTCCGCATAAAAACAGGCTCGTTGCGTAATGCACCCAGAATACTTGTGGCACTCGCAAGACAGGAGGGATCCCCGGCTATGTTGAATCTATCGAGCAAGTAGCAAAATTTTGGGCAGGAAAAAGACATTTATGCCAATTTTTGGCAAGCGTTTACGATAGCGGTAATCGAATCATCACGTTGGTCACTACTTAATTTCGTTGGTACTGGTGGCAGCCCTCGTTTAGACTAACTGCTCCCTGCAGGTGTGTTTGTGTCAGCGCAGGCTAGTTGCCGGGACTCTACCCTTTGACTTCTGAATAAGTACGTCGGATGGATTAGATGTCGCATACATCTACTTAACTACGGATAAATCCGCACATGAGTCACCGCTATGCAACTACCGTTGATAGAAATCACGTGATATCCGCCACTGTGACCAACGTCACACCCCGTCGATTTAACACGAGACCACTTGCTCACGGGAAGGGGAATGTCGCGCGGCGTAGACCCCGAAGTTTTAGTTCCCTTTAACTATCCGCCGCGCTAATAATAGTAGGTTGGAGGATTACAAACTACTAAACTGAGTTGGTCTTCCTGGCACTTTCGTCTATGTAAAACGGAACTTCCTCATTTCTGTTCAGTGGATGTGGTGTTAGGGAGCAGCGCATGTGTGGTACAGACAAACTATCATTCGGCAGTCTGAGGTGAGGCTGTTTTTACGCAGATGTCCCAGCTCCCTCTCTCGGCATGGTTTTTCGCCCCCCTACCTAGCGCCTCTGTGCAGAGTAATGCGTCCTCAGTGACCAAAACAATCCGCCTTCTTCACCTACTTTGCAGGTACTGGCACATTTCTACGTCGGTGAGGTGGTAAGCTGTCTTCAGAAGGCCACCCTGATACCCGGCGGTTCCGAGGGCCTCGTCTACTCCACCCTCTCAGGCGGGCTTGGCATTCTAGTTCCCTTCACTTCCCGCGATGCCTACGACTTCTTCCAGCACCTAGAGCTGCATCTTCGAGCTGAATCGCTCTCTTTAGTCGGCCGGGACCACCTCCACTATCGCTCACTTTATTATCCCTGCAAGGTAATTACTAGCTTCCATATTCTGATTCCTTTTTTCCTTTTCTTAGTGAACACTGCCACCTGGTACAGGCTGTCGTACTAATCAACATTTAA